GTCAACTGTTATTAAAGTTTGCCGGCTTTCCATTCAAAATTATTCTGACTGCGACTTTTACATGTCACTCACCACTCCTACGAACCTATAACTGGTCCAGTAGCTTATTCCCTACTAGCATAGGTGCTACACTAGCCATATCTTCATTCACCATATTTAAATATTTACATACAAGATTAGGTCCTGTAGATTCCTCCATATAGCCCTTTACATTTGCATCTGACTTCTTCAAGGTGCTGCTCCTTTTGTTTTCCAGCCCCACACCACAGTTCTCTGGTGACGGCTTCTTCCTCGCCTGTGTAATCAAGTCCTATTTTCAGCATTGTTTTTCTTTCATGGGGTTGAATAGTTGCTGCATTATCCTGACGTATTAACACCCCGAACACTGCTCCCTCACCCCCCTATGAGTGTGTCCGGCTGCTGGAGAGGGGAAAACGCACACAAACCATCACATGACAGCCAGGCATCGAGCAGCTAATCACACGTTCAATGATTTGTTTTAGTCCACCTTCTGCTGTGGGTGGTTGTTTGTTTAACGCTGGGGTCAGAATTCGCATGGAGTTTGAGGAGCTTGTCTAATCACTGATGAAAAGGTTGTTTAGATGCATATTTCAACAGAATAAATCTTTAAATTGGCATACTGCGGATTTACGCTAATACATAGTTGAAACATTTGAATGGATAAAGAATTTATTTTGTAAAAAAAATCATAATAAATAAATATATTTCAGCAAGTGAGGACATCTGGTGTAATGTAATAAACCAGGCCTCCAAAAAAAAAACTTTTCTGGGGTTAGAGTGACATTGCTGCTGTGGGTTTAACATTAATACTAGAGGGCTGACATATACAGAGATATCCACTAAGGGCAACAGTTCATTTTGTCCATCAGAAGTTTCTGGTCATCTGCTTGTCTTCGTCTAGATGTTTCCAGATGACTTTAATGTTATATTGTGTAACATTCTGGGCAATGCAATAACATTTCATTCTTATTCTGGTTTATATAATGGTTTACAATGGACAATGCAGATTTGAGTTTCAGAGTCTGAAATTCACTGAGAGCTTTAACCACATCAGCTGCACTCCTCTCTGCCTATTTCTTCTGAGACCCAAAAATCACATTAGATTTGATGTGATAACAGAACTGAGTCATGATTTGAGAAATGCTCGTCTCTCACAGAGCACGCATAAACCGCTCAGTACCAGTGTAGTTTATGGGCTGCCAGTACTAGCTCTTCTGCTGCCAATTAATTTCACAAATACTTAATCTTATTATTTATGGTCATTAGGGATGTGCATGCTTCTCTGCAATGGCTCTGAAATATTTGAGTTCTGGCTACAAAGGGAGACCGTTTCTGTTTGGGGTGAGATTATGGATTAAAGTGTGAGATGACACAGTGGTACAGAGTTCGTGAGGAGCCTGCACTTTGCCCGTCTGCAGCAGTGTGTGTACAGTGGTGGTATGATCCAAGAGAAATTGTGGTGTGAAGGTGGTGTTGTCTGCAAAAACAATTTTAAAACTGTCAAGGGCGAGATGATATATTGTCATGTGCTCTTGTTCAAGCTCTTTAGTCAAACACACACTTTTCCTACACACTTCTATTTGTTAGCCTCGGTCTATGTTTTAGGTAGGTAACATAAACCTCTCAATAAAATACATTCATTGATGCATGTTGTACTGCGTTTTCAATTAATTATTTTGAAAATGTTAAATGATTCCAACCTTATCACCAAAACTAGTAGCCTGATTCATCAGCCGGTTTCACTTCGTAGAAACTGTCTGACCTCGCAGCATTAGAATTTATTCACTTCATTGCTTTTTTTAAAAATTTAACCAATTGCTGCTATTTAGTCATGATGTATGTAATGCATTGCTAACGGGGCTAACTGGTATATTAAGCTTTTCCCAAATCCTGTAGGAAGAAGGGTAATAACAACTTTCCTATTGATAAAATTCACCAAACATTCACTTTGTTCAGGTTTTAAATCCTCCATCTCAGGAATCACTGACAAAACAGAATATATGGCTCTTCGCTGATTGGCTGGTGCCTGAACTCGCACTTCTGGTGTTTTTGCAACTCGTCTAGTTTATTCTGATTCCTGACCTAGTCGCTGGAGAGAAATTTAATTGAGTGGAGGCACTATGTGTCACCAGCCTGGCTACAAAACTAGAGGCACAACAACAGAATTAGTTTCTAAGATAACACTTTCACAAAGGTGTTTAAACATTTAAACAGTTGAGTTGCTAAGATTAAACACTCTGAAATCAACAAAAACACAATACTGTAAGCCACACATGAATAGTTGATGCGACTTTATTGACAGGTGAGCATAACAGAGCAGCTAGCCATGCAGTGAACTAGCCTGATGGTGTGTACTGAGGTGAGCAAAGACCTGAGCCAATCTTCATTCTAGTCACAGAAGGAAATGTCTAAGATTAAACAGACTCAGATCCAAGATGGCCGCTCATGTATAGAGTGTTTTATGTTATAAGCACAGATAAATGCAGATAATGTTCAATTGTATCTTTATTGGGAGTACAAAATAAAGTGTGACTAGAACTGTGCATAGTATTTTGCTTTTTGTGCTGATGTTACTTGAAATGCATACATTTTAAGTGGATATGGGGCCTATTGTACTTTTAGAGAATGTAATGCCCTTATATGGCTCTGGAATAGCAATCTGTGGTCAGAGCGCTACCAAGAACCGAGTGCGTACAGTCTGTAGAAGTCTATGTACAAAGCTGTGTCATATTTACATTTATTGCCATGGGAAAAGCTGTCTATCTGACACTGTCTCCTGTTTTATACCAAACCAAGTGATGAGTGGTGCCTCTCCTTTAAAGTTGCATTATGGAACTTTTCTGGGTGAGGGTCTGTCACTTAGTAATTTCCAGGGAGATGTTATTGCTTTGGTGGGTATGGGAACCATAGATTGTATATATAAATGAACATTGTTTCCAAATGGGAAGTGAGCATGGGGACGCTTCCGGCTCCATCGATTCTGGGTCTAATTCACTTTTCATTGAAAAAGTGTCACCCTCTCTCTGTAACAGTGAGCCTCATCATTTTGATCTTATAATGTTCGTATTAACCCGCTTTAGATGATCTACATGCTTTTATTTCACATTAGATTTGTGGAGAAGCAACCTGATTCATACTGTGGGACATTTCAGGCAAAGCACAAACATCTCCATGGAGACAAGCACCTGGCAGACCCCTCGCCTGAAAAGTTATAGTCCACCCTTAAAATATTGCTGACATTTCACAAGCATCTGAAAGGTTGTTCCAAGAGTCATTCCAAGATTTGCCAGACTTGATAAAACTTGGCAAAAGTCTGAATGACGAAGCAACTCCACAGTGTGCTGACATAGTATCAGTCCAAGAAGCTTTTTAGTGGAGCATTTGGATTTGGTGAAAAGAAGAAAAAAAAAAAAACAGCTAAACATTGCTATTATTATAGGGAAAACAACACAACAAAACCAATACAATTCTTTTTCTGACATAAAGTGAGGAGTACCTATATATTACAGTAGGGCAAGAATTATTTCAACCCACCAGTATCACTGACTTTCTATTTGGTGGGGCAGACCTATGCCTGGGCCAGTCCCAGTAATTACTATATTGACTTATCGTTAAATAGGTGATATATATATTTTTGCACTTCAGAATGTCTTTTAATGATTCTATATTTAAAATTGCTTACTGGGATTATCCTGCTTTATTTTTCCTAGTTTCAATGTTATAGTTTATTGTGATGTATCTCTGTAGCAAAATATTGTGTCCCAAAATCTGTAATCGTGACAGGCCTACCTCTGCCATCATAATAAAACGTGGAATAACTCTGGAACAACCCCATGGGGAATGTCAACAACAAAGCGCAAACATCAGTTAAAAAAAATAAGTGTGATTGACAACAAGAGTCACGTTTTCCCCCTGTCTTTTCCACTCAAATAGTTCAAGCACATCAGAGATCCTTGATAACAGTCACCCTCGCTCTGCTGTACACAATTAGACATGACAAGAGTATTACGGGACATTACATAGAGATAAACAGTGTTAGATAGATAGGGATATAATGACAGGAAGCTGTTTCTACTGAAGCAGGGAGAGAGAGAGGGCTGTGAAGTCTGTGAACCGCAGTGTGACTGAAGTGAGGGCACACTGAGGGTAAAATGCACAGTCCCCAGGCTCTGGAGCTGTGAAGAGCAGAGTGGAACATCACATAATCACCAGAGATTTCAAACAAAACGATGCATTTGTTTGACTTTCATTTGACCATAGAGTCAAAGACATATACACGTGTTTCTTTACGTGGACTTACATTAAGTACAAATGATAGCAAAAAATAAACAAAGACATACATGCAAAATCAGTGCTTCTCAAACTGTGGTAAGTGGACTTGGAGAACAGTGGATTTCAATTTAGGTTTAGTTTCTGTTTAATCTCTGTTTTCTGATTTTTAAGGTATTGTCAATACCCAATTAGATTATATAATCAATATAATGACTTTGAATGCCAAATATGTCCTTGTAATTAATATCTTTGAACTTGGTGTTAAAACTCTGAGACACGCTTATGGAAAAAATAAATTGATAGATACATAAATAAATATTGTACATACATAAATTAAATATATGTTTGGTGAGATACAGTGAAATGCATACTCACAAAGTCCCCACATCTCTTTAGTAACAACATATTGACATCATTTAAGTCTTACGCAGGCCACTGGAGACGGCTATTGAGGTAGCCAGACTATCCACTGTTCACGTGCTACATTTCTGTTGAGAATGCTACAAAGAGAGTAGCTTGAATAAATGTAAAAGAAATCCCTTGGCAGACTGCGCTATCAAGTCTTCAGGCAGAAAAAGCAAACTTGTGGGAGGAGCTACGCGGTTGTCCACTCAAGCTGACGATGTTGAAATAGCTGGCTTCGGTGAGGTTTTCGGCTTAAAGCTCCTGAGGGGAGTGACCATTTCCGGGGTCATGGACAGACGTGTGCACTGACAAAGTTTCATATCTCCACTATGTTCTTGACTGGGACCATGCCTCGCTTTTTCCCACTGCTCAGTCGCAAAAAGCCTTCGATCTCCTCGTTCTTCCCCACGCAGATCTGCAGAAATCAGAAGGGTCCAATAACATCAGATTTTAAGAGGCTCAAAAACCGACATTATGTGGATAACAGTAAATTTAATGAAAGGTCTTAAAAAACAGAACTAGTTCATTTTAAACGGTCTGCAGTGGTCCAAAGTTAGTCCTCACTAGCATTAAGCATTCAGGGCATTCTCATTATTCACAGAGCCATGAAGCTAAAACTAACAATAGCTAGCATGCTAAGCACACACTTCCACAGCCATTTTGCCATTAGTTATATGTGTTTCAAACAAAATAATGAAGTAGATCAAAGTATGGATATCACTTATTTTCTACAGTCTTATAAAGTTCAAACTAGTCCTCAGTAGTACAGTTAATACAGTGCTGACCTTGAGTAAATATAAAGTATACTCAATTACGCCATTTAGATTGAGGCTAAACGCTTAGAAAACCGTTGCACTCCATCCTCTGTTATTTCAGCATTTTCCTGCATCTATTTGCATCATATTACCTTTATGTAAGCAAGAGAGAGAGAGATGGGGAGAGAGAGAAAGAAAGAGGGATGGAGAGGAATGTGTGGAGGGGTGGGTTGTGTACATTTTTGTTGAGGTGCACACAAAGGTACTTTATAATTTGGTAACAACCTCAAAAATATTAATATTATATATTTTTTATTATTAATATTGCATTTCATTCTTCACACTAGGCAACAACTATAGCCACAGCTGCCATGGGGTTTACTGACAGAAGTGTGGCTAATGATCTGGTGTAACAGCCTCTTCGACCACCACCAATCACTCAAGGTGAGTGATGTGTCTTGCTCAAGAACACAACAACAGTAAGCACCAGTTGATGTTGGGTTTAAACCACCAAGACAATACTCTACCACTGCTACAGATACATAGAGACTTGAGATAGAGACAGACAGAGTTGTTGTTAGTGTTGTGTGCATGTTTCACCTGAGCCTCTTTGACGCTCATCTGGCCTTTGTCTCGGTTGCCATGGAAACCAGCAGTGACCTTCCACACCCTCTCTCCGGGACGCACCCGCTGCACAAAGTTGGCTGGGAAAAAGCCCACCCTGTCCCTAATTTTCCCCTGAACACAAACAAACATGGAGGCAACAGACTGTTAGTCCATGAGAGGTACAAAGATATGATTCGTAATGAGCTATTTAAAAACCCAGTCTAGAACGTTGACCTATTTAGTGAGGACATGTCTTCTGAGGAGTGGAGTATCTGACAACCTATTGCTCAGGTTTTCATTGTAATTTGCTTAATCAAGTCTTAACCATCCTGGAATGATCTACTTTCTAAAAATGCAAAAAAGCAAAAAAACATTTCTGCAACACTGCTCCATAAAGCGATTTCAAGTATTTGTGGAGCTATAATCCCCGGTATTGTCTGTTGGGACCATGGAGGAAGAGAAAACAAAGCCCACGGGGGTACCACATGATGTTGAGCTGTGCAGTTGTGGGCAGATGGTTGTGGAACAAACCTGGAACAAAGTCAATAGCCAGTTTGTCTGTAGCTGTCTGTAAGTGGCATGTCTAGTCTGTTTTGCTATATACTAATTTTTGTGAGTAAGCAAACTGAAACCATAGTATCAGTATAGTATAGTATTTACTGCTTTAAAACATGATTGAAAGACAGATTTAATAGTTTAGTAAAAATGACTTAGGCTTAATAAGACGTTAATTAAGGAGTTAAGAATTAGGGTATTAATTAAGCAGTAACTAAACCGAATCAGTCTTAATCAACTATTTGTTCATTGTGAATTAAGTCTGTCTTTATGTTTTACTAAAGCCATTTAAGGTGTAGTTATTATAAAATGTATAATCTACCAAAATGAATGGTAGTTGCTTTTGTAGCTAATTAATTAAATTGCTTTAATTAAATTACCCATAGCCAATTTTCAGCCCTTAAAACGCACAGGAAGCTACTTATTGTGCACCATGCTTAGAGCTTATTACATAGTTCTTGTGGACATGTTTTTGCTAGTAAATAGTATCTGTGTTGTAGTACCATGTAAATACACCATATGCATCTGTAGTTGCATCGATAAATACTTTGTGGGTGGTTGAAACTATATTCTAGTAATTTTCCTTACAGTACTTAAAAGCGAGACTATTTGACAGACAGGTGAAGACTTGGCTCTCGTCTCATTAAATACAGTTTATGATGCATCGTCTCTCTTTTCTATGGTAACCAGCTCAAACACCCACACAGCGTCCTTCAGAGCGCCTCTTGTCATATTGTTACTTAAGAGCTGCGTAATGCACAAAAATGACTATAACTGTGAGTGGGAAGTCAATGAATGTATATTAAAGTACTTGAAACCAACCCACCTTCCACCAGTCCTCATTGGAGTCGTCAGTCACTTGTATTCTGTCACCAGGCCTGAAACAAGAATAAGATTATCTGGTAGATGTTTTATGATAGTGACTCACATTTATTTTTAGTGTTTCAATATAGCATTGTATAAGCTAAAGCAAAGTTTTTGGTAATAAAGTAAAGGTGCATTGTGTAACTTTTCTGGTGGAGGGTCAGTCAAATGCTTGTCTCCATGGAAATATTATTGCTTTGTCTGGAATGTTTCACAATATGGTATTAAACCTTTCTATCTTTCTATCTAGACCAAACCAGTCCAAGTTACAGGTCAGATCATGTGGAGAGACAACCGCTCACAGTCAGAATGCTTGGTTTGTGTGTGTGTGTGTTTTTTTAAGGTGTTTTTGAGCTATAAAACCTCTATTTTAATAAATGTAAGGTAGAGCTGTTTAATCCCATACTCTGGAATATTCCAGCCAGAGCAATGACATCTCAGAAACTAGCAGGTGACAGACTCCCAACCAAAAAGTTACATAGTGCACCTTTAAATAACCCATGTAAGCAGTAAAGGGCTTTAACCTTCTCTAACAGAGGGCATTGGAGCTTTCTGACCACTTTTTAAAACTTTGTTTCACTAAGTTTTTATACTACAAACAGGGTCATTTTCACTGCTTTCTAGCCCTGTCCTTGAGGAGCACCTGTTCAGTATTTTTCAGTAAGAGAACCACCTGAAGCTCTCACCTTTCCTGTGTTTTTAAATGAGATATATTTACTCCCCATTAAATGTGGCATTAAACGTATCTATCTTGCATTATATTACATTTTTATAGCTTAAAACACCTTGAAAAACATGCATTAACATTGTGAGGGGGTTGCCTCTCCACTGATCTTACCTGGTTAATGCCATACTGTGGAGCATTCCAAGCAAAGCAATAAAATCTCAAATATTTCATAGTGTACCTTTAAATATCACATATTAGTTGAACATTTCCTTTTTTTGGTATTATTTCATAAAGGCACCATTGAAGTGGGTGAAGTAAAAAAGTCTTTCTGTCTCTGCACACTCCAGAACCATAGAAATCTACCAGTTCAAATACTAATTTAAATATCATTACAGCGATTACATGGAGTGCATATCTGTGTTGACTAAAGGCGTGCTGCAGTCTAGATTAGCTCCGGACATCCCACCGCGCTGCTGCCTCCCACAGACAGACAAGTACAGATTCTTTTGGTCAACGCAGCATGGCCATTTGTCCTTCTGGGCCCTCCTATCAGGCGCACCCCTCCTTCTCCAAACACTGCACCCCCTGCACCTTACTGTCCCGCTGGGGGACAGATGGTGTGTGAATGTCAGTGAAAATGTGCCCAGGTATCTTCCACATGAGTAAGGACAATAAGGAGTACGTTTGGTTACTTGTAAACATTCTTATATAACACATTTGGTGTTGGTCGTTTTATAGGTAACATTTTGAAGACTTTTCACCATTCAAAAGATTGGTTGATTAGTTGCTATAGCAATGGTCCAACTTTTTTTTCCTCAGTATTTTTTTTTCTTTAAAGGTACACTTGCTTGTCTGCTTGTCATGCATGGACATCTGTAACTTGGCTTGGTGGTGTCACCTGCTTATCTCTGCAGATAGACAAGTTTGCCCTTCTGTGGAATATTGTGACCAAAGCAATAATTTCAGGCACCCCGTCCACCAGAAATGTTACATAGTGCACCTTTATTTGGTTCACTGAAATGTTTCTCTAATATAATACTTTAAAGTAATGGTGAGAAGCCTGTGTTAATATTGTACTTTATTGTACTTACTGGAGCTCAAGGTCGTTCTTCTCTTGGGGCAGAAACTTGTACAGAGCTACATATGTGTGGATGGAGTGGATCTCAACACGTTTCGGCGTCTGTAAGCACAAATATAACAGAATTATATAAAGCATCTTTCTATACTTAAACTTGTACATTTGCACATTTTAGAAAATAGATCTTTCATAAAGTCTTTTTAGGCTCTGGCTGCAATTTGAGTATTAATGTTGGATCACCTATTATCATGTTTATCTATGACTTATGAAACAGTGGTGAGGAGCATACTAGTTAGTGGATGAAATGCCCTTAATCTCTAACTATCAATAACAGTCAAGTTAGTCAAATACTAACTAATGACTACTTAATTGTGGAATAAACCAATATAGAATCTGGAATTAATAAATGAATTATATGCTAATAAAAAGACAAAATATCCACAACTATGCTCATTTGCACTTTAGTTAGTGAATAATAGATGTGCTCTAAATGATCAGTGTGTAGAAGTTGTAAAAGTAGTAGTGAAAGGAGTAGTTCTTGGGTTGATCATATTTTACATTATACTTCTCTTTATTTATTTTTTTGTTTTATTTAACCCCACTCTTCAGGAAGAGGATGAAGATGTTATAAGAGTAGCCAGTGTCCGTTTAATCAAGCAAAAGCTGAAAGTGGAGACAGAGATGCTGACTACACACCTTCAGACTGACCCTGTCTTCTGAATCAGCCTTCTCACTTTCAGGCGGCGTGAGCACTGGAACATCAGACAGATAAAATAACACAGAGGAGAGAAAGAGAGAACGAGAGGGGGATTATTGGACAAAAATGAGAGAAAGGTAGATAGAGGACACACACAGGACACAGACTGCAGTGGGGCAGTGGACAAGGTCATGTGAGCAGCAGAATAAACAGAGCGTCCTATCTCCAGGGGCAAGGGGACTGAGGGCACATTAGTCCTGTGAAATTAGCTGAGGCTGCACTTTGTAAAAATAGGGATTAGATGTAATTGATTAGATATGAGCTGATACTGTTAAATCAATATAAAATGCAGTATAAACATAATTATTTTAGGAATTTTAAACTTAAGATGGTCACTTATTGTTATTATGTGCCATTACGGGCATATTCACTTTGAACATAGACCACATCAAACCTGAGACTAAATTGGTTCTTCTAAACTAATTCTGGACTAGATTAGGACAGGACCAATCCAAGTCTACATCAGGATTTAACTGTGCTCAAGTCTGTACCAAATCTCTATGAAGATTGAAGTGTAAATGCTATGGATTTTCATAATTTAGGTATGGTTTATGTCAGGCTAATGCACAAAGTAACTGAAATGATGTGTAAATGTGTAAATGTATGTAAAACACAGAAGAGTTAAGTTTAAAACTAATTAATGAAATGTTTAAAAAAATAATATGAAATAATAATAATAATAACATAGAAAAATCTGCAGGGCATTCACTTTTGATTCCATTCATACCAGATCTAGAATTAGTGAACTACATGTTATATGGTGATAAGATTCCTGACTTACTTCCTGGTATAGACTCTTCTTCTGCAATGGGCTGGTGTTCTAGTTTGTCCAAAGCTTTCCCCTAGAATAAGATAAAGCATAAGTCAGTGTAATACGGTTACAGTACATTCCTAGATTGATGATGGTTTGACTTGTCTTGTATCTTTACCTCGTGACACGGAGACTCAGAAATGCTGCTGAAGCTTGATCGACTCATTTGTGCCAGAGATGTCCCATAGCGCAGCGCCTCGTACACAGGGTCAACAACGCTGGTTTCTCCTTCTGCATATAGACAAAAAATATATATCTGTAAGATTCTGAATAGCGAATAGCTCTTGATATTGCTGCAACATAAATTTTTTGTTTTGTTTTACTGTCCCCCTGTTACTGTGGGAATCAATCTGCCGACCTTCAGGCTGGTGTACAAATACTCCCACTGCAGCACTCTGCTTCACTTCAGAGATTAGACGAGACTGGGCATTCTATATTCGAGATGGATATAACAGCTGACCAATATATCACCAATATTTGGACTTTTTAGCATGTCAGCTATCAGTCTTAAAATCTCCAGCATAGGCCGATATTTTGTTTTGGTCGATCTGTTGCCTAAAAAAATAGACATAGAGCTTCATAATAACACTTTAATTTGAAGAGACAGCCGCACAAAACATGACTACACCACTCTCTTAAAGGTTTGTAGTAAAAAAAAGGGGGCCGTGGGTGAGTTTGTTGTCAATTTAAATGACATAATTTGGGGAAATTATTGAAACTCGGCCCTATACTATATATTGTCCCAAAAATATCGACAGAGCTTATCGGCCATCGTTGGTCTTGATTCTAAACAACTGGACATCGGCCATGAAAAAACCTATATCGATCAATCTCTATTCTATGTCCATAAATTGCAGAAGGGAATAGGATCATGAACCTGAGTATGTGGTCTGACACAGCATATAACATGACACAGACTGGAGCTTGTCATCCTATCATGGCTGATCCCTGTCTGTGCAGTTTTTCAGGTCAAACAGTTTCCGGTCAGAATTCAAGGCCATGGACACAGCCATCAGTCACTCCTGGAGCCATGTATTTATATATTTTATTTTGTTGTGCAGTGATAAATCTGACGGTGGGGTCTGTCACTCACCTTGGGCAGCAGGAGCCTCTCGGACCACGCCCAGAGGATCGATGCTGAGCAGAGGAGAGCTGAAGTTTCTTTTAAAAGCTCCGCTCTGGTGGATTTAAACACAAGGACACAGAGGAGATGTTACTCCAAGCAGAAAGAGGACAAAGTGAAATCAATCAATCTGAGTTTACAAAAGCTGAAGGAAATCTCTGTAGAGCAGGGCTTTTAGTATTTTTAGTATTTTGGAAAGATTTTGAGAACATTTAAAATATCAAATTCAATTCAAAAACACATTCAAATTCAATCGATTTATTAATTTTTCAAGCTATTTTTGCATTTGTGTTTACTTTTGCGTTGTATATTTGGTTTGTTCAAAACTGAGACATTAACTCCAATTGAAAGTGCTAAAAATAAGTCTAAAAATAAGTCTCAGACATTTCTGTACTTTTTACTTTTCAGGACAGTTCAAAAATGTAGTGGAGTAAAAAGTATAGATTCATGCTCTCAAACATAGTGAAGTAAAAGTAAGAAGTATCCACTGTAAAAATGACTTAAGTGATGTAGAGGTACTAAAAATTGTACTTAATTGAACTTTTACTGTTGTATTTTTTTATCTTCCAACACTGACCATATTACATTAAGGCAAAGAGCAGTATGTAAAAAGTGTCTTTTTTACATATGCCAGACACTGTCACTATGTCCCAGGTGTTACAAGGCAAATGCCATTCCCAGTAAAGACATTATTTCTGCATTATTACACTATTCGTATTACATAACATAAAGTGCTGCCAATAATGCACTCTCCATTAGTTTTCACATTAGCTTAAACACCATTTCCCTAGGCTTCATTGAGTGAGCACAGCTTTTTCTAAACTGCTTTCAAGCCAAGAAGCAAAGAAACTGTCCATCAATGTATTTTAATCATGTTGACACAGATATTTTAAACTAAAGTGTCATACTGGTATTTTTAGGTGTTTATATCGATGCATGTTTTAAAGGTCTAATTTTAGCGACTCTGATGTTCTATTTTTCGCTTTATTTAAGTTTTATTTGAACTATATTTGGAAACTGTCCTAAAATTAACAACAACAACAACAGCAACAAATATGGTGATAATACAGTACATCATGTTACTTTGGGGACACAGACCAGTGTTTTTATTTCAAGAGTGACAGCTCCTTTCTATTTGATTGAAGTTCTCTGTAACAACACATTTGCGTACTGCCCTCTGATGGCTGGAATAACTATGTGAAGCCATATCTTGCATTCCCACAAAATATGACTCAAATAGGATTAAGCATTACACATGTACTCTTTTAAAAGTGATAAATTACATGGAATTTCACATTTATTACTTATACTAAACTTTTTTCTTCAAAATATTACTAACCAAAGTGCATACATAACATGCAGATGAATGGACTTTAGAAATAAATGATAAATGGTCACATTTTTATACAGCACTTTCACCTTCAAGGCACTCTAAGCACCCTATATCACATGCACACATTCATACACCAGTGTACGTTTACACTAGGGCCAAGGTGAATCAAGGACACAATAACAGCATTCATTTGTGGAAGCTGGAATTTCACTGCTAACCTATGGGTTAGTGGATCTGACCACTCAACCAAAGTTTATGTTGAGAGCGAGATTCAAACTGCCAAATCTTTGGATCAGTGGACAAACACTAACAACTGAGCTACTGTCAGCAGTCATTTCAAATACATTCATAAAAGTCTAAACAAACGAAGTCATCCAAAAGTGAAAGATGGCTGTAAGCTGTTATGGCTACGTGTTTAACTGACAGAGAAGCTTTAGCCCTGGGTCTCTTTTTATCTTACCCTTAACACAACAGCCCTCTGCTCTGCTGCTTTAGAAAACAGAGACTACAGACATAATATATCTGCAGCTGGAAACCTTTTACAACTTTAAAATAAATATACAAAAAGTTTAGTTCGTCCTAATCTAGATTATTTTGGTCATAGATTGGTTTTGGTTAAAATTTGAATTTAATTGTTTAACTATTGCAGTAAATAGAAAAGTATATTTAAATTGTAATAATATTCTGTCTAATGTTGTGCATCTCTATTAAACAGATCATTGGACTGTGATGTATGACTAAATAAAGGTGAAAGACAAACCAGTTGAAGGTGACACACCTTAAATTAGCCTGAGTAATTAAACCTGATGTCCCGCAGTGAGGGCGATGTGTGGACGATTTCCTGCAAAGCCAATTATTTAGTGCAGACCTCAGCTGCCCACTGCTGTAATCAAACTGTGATACATCTTTACATTTAATTACATCGATCCAGAGATGTTTGTCAGGTTTCCAAAGCAATCTAAGCACTTGGATTTGAAGCGTATTTAAAACAAATTGGTCATAAACAGGTGCACTCAGCAAATGGGCTGAACGTGAGCCAGTGACGCAGGAAATGCACTCATCATAAGTCCAGTTTTTCTGACTGTTGGTTTGGTAATTTTTAATCTGCAAGGTGAATTAAAAAGTAACAAGAAATTATTAATTCATGAATGGTATGACTTTATAAAATCTAGAGGTGTAGGGCTTTAGTCATTTAGTCGATCAATTGTTAGTCGATCAATTGTTAGTCGATTAATTGTTTATATGATCGTTATCGTTGATTATCATCTAGTTTAGTCGATGGTGCTGTAGTCGACCAAAATTTCCAACAAAAATGTCAACTGATCATATCAACTAGAATTTAGATTAGATAGAATTTTAGATGATAAGAATTTATACGGGGTAACAATATAACTTGATTATTTAGTTTAATCAAGTTTAATTATTAAGTCTTTATATAAATATAGTGTTTTCATACTTTTTCTGTATAAATAGTTATTTTTGCACGAACTCATGTGCAGTGCTTTTCGCTCAGATACACAGCAATACATAATAGTTTTGAGAGAACAATAGCAGTTTGTTGTGATGTCCAAAATATAAAATATTTGTGTTCACATTATATAACTATAGATTCTACTGTAGGTTTTATAGCAATTACAAAGCAAAATCCTAAACATTCCCTCTTTTTTGCCTAATGCCTGCTCCGATGAGTGCGCAGTGATGAGAAAGGGACATTGCCCAGGACTCTGTGGTGCCTCCTCTGGGGATTGTGTGTGCCCCAAACACACCGAATTTCACAGCAAATTAGCCGACCAGCTGCTACAGGCAGATATTGATTTTCCTACTGAGTTTAGAGCAGAGGAAGGAAATGTAGCACCGGACCAGAGAGCAGAGGGTGATATGTGAGAAGAACAGCACATGTAGGAAAAGGACAAAAAGGCAACACTTGGCAATGAACTTTTATCAGCGTCAGTCTTCCCAGATTTGATGGTATTTTTAGCCTTTGGACAATCTGATCTCACAGCTCACCCCTGTGCTCATATCTCCCTCTGTTCAGATGTTTGGCTCGGCGGTATAGCAGCTCCTCACAAAAGGACTTTATCCTCTTTTAGAAAATCGGGGGTTTAGGTTTACAGTTAAGGCTATTTCAGTACTGATGACATTACAGGGTTTAGATACTCTTGTGTTGAATGTATTTGTGTGGTTGTGCATTCCAATCGATTGTGAGTTAGGGTTAGTGCCTTAGTAGAGGTGTTTTCTTTATTTAGTTTTCAAATACATTAATTCAATACAAGTTTCTTCAAGTATCTTGTGCAGTGCTAAAGAACTTGAGACCTGTATTATTGCATTATATTGTACCCCCTCACCATAAAGTGATTATGACTTGAGAGCCTGCTGCCATATGGTTGCCTCTGTGTGGGCAGTAATGTATAGCTCTTAAGTACTTGGAGGAGCATACTGAAATGTGGAGCTACAATAACTTACCTTCCCATTACAAGGCAGCTGAGAGAGCTCAGAGGAGCACCAGAGGTGGGCAGCCATCTTACAGGCTTTACATCGCAGCCCCTGCTTCGAGTTTCCTGCACAAATGAGTCATTAAACTAAAGCAAAAACACACTTAAATTTGATTGCTTGACATAATTATATTCCACATTTGACAACAGTAACAGCCTGCAATAATTTATTTATATCCTTGCCCATTTTCTCCCATAATTGTTGAGAAAGTAAATGTTTTATTGGCTGAATCATTTATCAGTCTTATTTAATTGTTTCTGCACCACTGCAAAGGGCAGTCAATTGCATATTTCACAGTAATTTTTACATACATTTATTCAAGAATTGGACTAAAACATAGACTTGGGACCTTATATGACCGATAATGTTAGAAAATACACTTACATTAGCTGCGTGCATTGCGTCAAGTGTAATTAACATCACAAATTGGCAAACAATCTCTCAGTCAATAATTGGGCATAATTGACATGAAAAGTACACAATTGAACACAAGTGTATAATGAGGCTCACCTTGGATGACGTGTTTGCATCTCTGACAGTTGGTGGCCCTGCGAAACACATGCTCCTGGAAACAGTGGGTCTTCACGGACAGAACTTTGACCTGGGACCCCACGGACGACGGGCTGATGGAGGGGGAGTGCGAGGAGAGGGAGGGGTTTGGGCTGGCGGAGGGGGACAGGGAGGGCGAGCGTTCATACCCCAGAGGAGAGTCCGAGGAGGGGGCAGGAGGAGAGATGGGGTGAGACGTGGTGATGAGGGCAGAGGGGTGACGTGAGTCGCCATTTCTCTGGAAGAAGTTGTCCATGCTTTTGCTGCGCATAACAGACTTAAAGGACAGGGATCTCTTTAGCTTCTGCAACTGCAAAGAGAAAAAAGAAACTAATTAGGCAACTATTAAATGGTCACTAATTTGTTCTAATGATTATAGGGGTATACTCGATTTTAAAGCATAGACACTTTCACATACACCATGTAACTTTTATGGTGGAGCGTATGCCACATTTTTTTCTCCATGGAGTTGTTATCACTTTGCCTGCATGTTCCACAGTATGACATAAATATATCTATTTATAATTTATTTCATCAAGGCATACTTATTGCTCTAAAATACCTTCAAAAACTGTGAGTGGGCTCGCATTGACTTAACCTGGCTTTGTTTTGTACCCTGCTTGTTTTCATAAAAATTGATATGATATTATAGATATTTAATGCCATACTGTGCAACATTCCAGGCAATGCAATAACACCTGAGAAAATCAGGAAGCAGACCTTCTCATCTACCAGAAACAAAATGAGCAAAGTGTTAAACTGTTTGAAACCTTGAAAATCAGCTGATAGCATCCACCTCTGGCTGCCCTTGGCCTGCTTTGGCTCAATCCCTCTTTTCTTAGATCTCAACATCGGTCGTCTCTAGTCGATAGCTCTTAAAATTCATGTGTGATTACTTATTGAGCCCCCTACATCTTTGCGTTTTCAGTGATGTGGCTGTATTTCTCTCTTCTTGTCTAACACTTCCTCTGCTGCTGCTGGGCACAGTAAATTGGGACTGATGATGACAAACAGTTAGTAGGTGAAGCAGGATCTGATATATGGGAATAATTACGATTGTGAGCTCATACATCAAGAGAATGGCCTGAAGAATGAGGCCAAGAATGTAACAGCTTCTGAACACCCAACAGTCAATTTACTAGGAGCTTGTTAGCTGTCGGAGAAGTGGCGTTGTTTTGATAATCTATTCTGCATAAAAGCACCACATAATATTTAAACACTTGTGTTTGTAGTAACTTGTAGCATTGTATCGATACTAAAAGTTCAAACTTAATTTCAATACTAAGGAAAAAAAGACTTGATACTCAATACTGATTCCATTACCACAATGATAATAAAACACACTCTTTATTTAAACAATACAATGATATTAAATGATTACACTTTCTTTTATGTTATCATGTGGCCTTATATCTATGTAATCCCTCAGTCATCCAGGTCTTATACTTGTTCTGATACAGCTCAAAATCATTATAAAATTATCCAGGAAAGGTTCATTTCTCTCCTGGAATATGACTTTTTTGGTTTCGATACTTGCTCAAATGAGTATCTAGTCTCGATATTAGTTTTATTGCTGATTTCTGACTACTAGGGTAGTCAGAAGGGCCGAAGTCAGAAGGGCCAGAAGTTGTTCACTAATATCCAGCAGGTCATGGCAGTCCAATTCTTCCTTTCAACCTTGCCTTCAGTGTCGTTAACTGGGGCAAAGATGTGTGTAATTGTTGTTTTTCTTGGGCTGAGCAATATGGTGCGAGAAGAAAAATTGTGATTTAATCACTATAACAAATCTGTCATACTATGATTCTCTAGTTTGCCAATCTATTAACCAATCATAGCGATGTGTGAATTTTCAAAAGAAACTGAAGCATAAATTGTTTGCCATATCGCCAACTGCTAGTCTCCAGAACTTATTGTTGCTGAAAATGTGTCTTTAATTTTTTTCTTATATTAAACTAAAATGCCTGAAATAACTTCCTAATACTTCCTAATGTGACTACTTTTTTCATAATTATTCATTAACAGCAGCAGAGTCTTAATTGATTTGGTTGAAGACAGCCTCTGCCATGATGCTTATTGCCCCTTTGAGCTCTGGACTCACTCATGTGCTCCTCCGACGTACATTCAATCAATAGCATCGAGCAGGTTCCAGCTTTTCCCCTCTTTAAGGCCCACATTCACAGATACCAATTAGTTTGAGTGATGAAAAGAGTCCTCTCGCCTGACCCATTACAGAGAGGCACATGTAAACGGTTTCTACAGGGAGCGGGGCCTCCTCTGCTTAATAGCCCTCTCCTGGATCGAGCTGTGGCCCTTTCAGTAATGGAGGTACTTTTTTTTAACTTCCCCAACTTTGAACTGTTGTCTACAGAAGGAGCTTTCACAAGTTTAAGCCCTTTAAGAAGAGTAGACAAAACTCATCACAACACTGGTTTTGGTTGGAGCATACAAACAATAAGGACATGAACTAAGAATAGTAAGTCGTGCACCCTGTTACCTTAAAGGTGCATTGCGTAACGTGAAAGGCCCATAAAATGCTTTTCGCCATGGAAATGTCATTGCTTTGTCTGGAATATTTCACAGTATGGCATTAAACCTTTCTATCTTCATGTAGACCAAACCACACCAATTTACAGGTCAGATCTGTGGAGAGGCACCCCCGCCAACAGTCTGAATACCTGTTTTCTAGGTATTTTCAAGCTATAAAACCACCTGTAATTGAATAAATGTAAGGTAGAGCTGTTTAATGTCAATCTATGGAACATTCCAAGCAGAACAATGACATATCCATAGAAACAAGCAAGAGACGGACCCTTGACCAGGAAAGTTACACAATGCACCTTAAAGGGACAGTCCGGAATTTTGGCCATAGTTAGCCTGCCACTAAAAACAGTCTTACCCACTACACAAAACATCTGAAGCAAATCTATTATTATGTCAGACTGTCGATGTAAAAGTCTGTGTTGATAGAATAATGTTTGAAATAAAACTAACCTTGCATTGCATGAATCGTCGCAAGTTGATGGACTATTTTCTCAGCAGCAGTGGAATTTTACTTTCCGGAAAGATAGGTGCTAGGTGATATCAGTCCGCCGCTGCCAAGCTTTCTATCAGGAAGTAAAACTCACTGCTGCTGCTCAGACATAAATCCTTCAAATGCAAGGTTGGTTAATTATTCTATCGACACAGACATTCACATCAATAGTCTGGTGTACTAATTGTTTTGCTCTGGGTGCTTTGTGGAGTGGGTAAGACTGTTTTTAGTGGCAGGATAACTATGATAATTGACATGCACTCGCCTAGCACCAGCAACCTCTGCAAATACAAAGATTGGATGGAATATTTAAAAAAGTGTCTCCACAATTCTCCAACATAAGAAATTAGGTCTCCTCCTTGAACCGTCACCTTATCGTGGTGGAGGGGTTTGAGTGCCCGAATGATCCCAGGAGCTATGTTGTCGGGGGCTTCATGCCCCTGGTAGGGTCACCCAAGGCAAACAGGTCCGGGGGGACGGGTCAGACGAAGAACGGTTCAGAAGCCCCTATGATGAGTACACCAACAAGGCCAGTTACGTCGCCCGGATTGGCGTCACCGGGGCCTCACCCTGGAGCCAGGCCTGGGGTGGGTGCTCACCAGCGAGCGCCTGGCGGCCGAGCCTCCCCCCACGGGGCTCAGCCGGGCTCAGCCCGAAGGAGCGACGTGGGGCCGTCCTCACGTGGGCCCACCACCCGCAGGAGGATCCATATGGGGCCGGTGCAGAGAGATCTGGGCAGCAGTCGACGGCGGGGGCCTCGGCGACCAGATCTCCGGACATGGAGACTAGCTCTGGGGACATGGAATGTCACCTCGCTGGGGGGGAAGGAGCCTGAGCTTGTGCGGGAGGTTGAGCGTTACCGACTAGATATAGTCGGCCTCACCTCCACGCACAGTTTGGGCTCTGGAACCCAACTCCTTGAGAGGGGCTGGACTCTCCATTTCTCTGGCGTTGGCCGCGGGGAGCGGCGGCGGGCTGGTGTGGGCCTGCTCATTGCCCCACAGCTCAGTCGCTGTGTGTTGGAGTTCACCCCGGTGAACGAGAGGGTCGCGTCCCTGCGCCTTCGGGTCGGGGACAGGTCTCTCACTGTGGTGTCGGCCTTCTTGGAGTCCTTGGGAGGGGTACTAGACAGTGCACCGACTGGGGACTCCGTTGTTCTCCTGGGGGACTTCAACGCCCACGTGGGCAACGACAGTGACACTTGGAGAGGGGTGATTGGGAGGAACGGCCTCCCCGATCTGAACCCGAGCGGTGTTTTGTTATTGGACTTCTGTGCTAGTCACAGTTTGTCCATAACGAACACCATGTTCGAGCACAAGGGTGTCCATAAGTGCACGTGGCACCAGGACACCCTAGGCCGGAGGTCGATGATCGACTTTGTCGTCGTGTCATCTGATCTCCGGCCGCGTGTCTTGGACACTCGGGTGAAGAGAGGGGCTGAGCTGTCAACTGATCACCACCTGGTTGTGAGTTGGGTTCGCTGGCGGAGGAGGAAGCCGGAAAGACCTGGCAGGCCCAAGCGTGTAGTGAGGGTCTTTTGGGAACGTCTGGCAGAGCCCTCTGTCAGAGGGATTTTGGAGTCCGAGTGGGCTTCATTCTCGGCCTCTATTGTCAATGCAGCTGCTCGGAGCTGTGGGCGTAAGGTCTGTGGTGCCTGTCGCGGCGGCAAACCCAGAACCCGGTGGTGGACACCGGAAGTAAGGGATGCTGTCAAGCTGAAGAAGGAGTCCTATCGGGCCTTGCTGGCTCGGGGGACTCCTGAGGCAGCTGACGGGTACCGGCGGGCCAAGCGTGCTGCAGCCCGTGTGGTCGCGGAGGCAAAAACTCGGAGCTGGGAGGAGTTCGGGGAGGCCATGGAGAAGGACTATCGGACGGCCTCAAAGAGATTCTGGCAAACCGTCCGGCGCCTCAGGAGGGGAAAGCAGTTCTTCACCAACACTGTTTACAGTGCAGGGGAGAGCTGCTGACCTCGACTGGGGACGTTGTCCGGCGGTGGAAGGAATACTTTGAGGATCTCCTCAATCCCACCGTCACGTCCTCCTCCGAGGAGGCCGAGGCTGGGGACTCGGAGGCGGACTCATCCATCACCCTGGCCGAAGTCACTGAGGTGGTTGGCAAGCTCCTTGGTGGCAAGGCTCCGGGGTTGGATGAGATCCGTCCTGAGTACCTGAAGTCTCTGGATGTTGTGGGGCTGTCTTGGCTGACACGCCTCTTCAACATCGCGTGGCGGTCGGGGACAGTACCTCTGGACTGGCAAACCGGGGTGGTGGTCCCTCTGT